AGTGCAGATGATACAGAAAAGTCATATGTACCTGATTAGAAGATTTCATAGACTGAAGCTTGGATTTCAGCACACCTGTTTCTTCTGTTACTCTTTTAAGCTCTTTGGTCAATTCTTCAAGTTGCAGTTGTCTTTCCCTAAAAACATACACCATTGGGTTTACCACCTATTCCCAAAAAAGCTCTCAAGCTAGAGAGATTAAATAGTTCAAACTCCTTGTATATCCCAGCTGTGTATTGAGAAGCAATCAAAATCCTGCTTAGAAGTCACTGTAACAATGTCATAACTGATTGTTTGCAGTCATTTATATAAAGCAAATAATATTACCATGCATTTTTGTGAACATCAAGGAATAATGATAACCAAATTATTACTTTATTAATACATGTATTAACTAACTAGAGTTAAATCCCTGACACTGAGGGGGCCATAGAAAGTTTCAATGTTAATAGTGTGTCCATATTAATAAAAAAATTTTATGTAAGGGCTTTCTTTCCCAAGGGACAAAACAAACTGTCTGGAATAATGAGCTGTCCATATTGACTGTGTTTTTTTTTTGTTATAGTATGCAAATATTCACCTTGAGTTGTCTTTTAAAGCATCTGCCATCTGCATTTTCATGAGTTTGATCTTTCCATCTCGATCAGCAAGCTCTTTCAGATGCAGAGCTTTTAACTCCTCAAGCTGATGGTCAAACTTTAAAGTTAAAACAGTCATGAAATTAATTGGGTTTTTTTTATGATTTCCTGCACTGAAAGTGTACTTTTTAAAGTTTTAATAAAATAATATTGAAATTTCATGACTGTCCTTAGAATCCACTCCGTAACCAACTTTTGATAAAATATGTCAATAGTAAGCTTAGATAATTTATTGTTTTATTTTATAAGGTATACATGTAATCAATCTTAATCTTCATCAGTAAGGCTCCTGAAAGGTGATCAGGAGGGTACCTCCATATCAAGATCTCTCACTACAAACTATCCATGTAAGACAGAGGAGAGCAAACTAGGGGTAAGGGTGCAACACTTATGATCCTAGCAGATATGGTCAGATAAGGTAAAAGTATGCAAAAGTACTGTGAGACTTTCGAGTCAGTGGTCTTTCATCCTGTCCAAAATGTTTGCCATTTTCAAACAAGAGTATGAATTTTTCCTCAGCTATGTTATGACCCAAAGTGTTGGTACAGCTTGGAATAGAACCCAGGCCTACTACTTTGAACATTTGGTACCCAACCAATATTAAACTAACCAATTGGTGGGTAATGTCTTCATGGCTTTGCAGATGATCTAAACATACAATATTTATTACAAGGATCTCTCTTTTCATAAATGACTGAATAAAATTACTGTTAGTATCATTATTTCTACCCCAGCCTACCTCTTTTTGGATCTCATCCTTTTCTTTTGAAAAGCTTTCCTTTAGTTGATTAATTTCTAAATCCTTGGAAGTCACTATCTTCTGCTGTTCTACAATTTCTTTTTCTTTTTCACCGATGACAGCTTTTAATTTTTTGATCTGGTCATCAAGGTTACAGTTTGAAGCTTCCTGTGAACACACAATCAGACATGCAGATGGTCATCTCTAGCAACAAACCAAAATACACCACTTTCAATATTATCATGTACATTCTGTAATATCTGCCAATGCCCTAGTAAGTGTCCTCCCCTGAATAGGTACCCACCCCCTCAACCAAGCTAATGAATAATATTATTATTCTCTTAACCCAGGGCTGTCAAAAAGGGATGGAAGCCAGGGATTTCCTCCAGTTACAAGGAACGTGATCCCCAGTTCATAAAAAAAAATTGATGAAAAATAAAGCCAAAAAAAATCTCTAGCTGTTTGATTCTCCGCCTACTGGTGTCATGCCTTAGTAACTTCTCCTTAATGATATGAATACTGTCCATATAATTGATAATTAGACTCTTAGCCCCTTGTTCTGTTACTGTGACAATGTTAGAACTTGGGTGAAAGACTACATGGTAATATTATTATTTTTAAATTGCTACTATAGCAATCAGGGTATTCAAGACTTTGAAACTCCTTACACTAACCATTTAATTCTATCGCAACCTCTTCTCCTAGTAATCAGTATAAATTCCAGTTCTCTCTTTTCTGCTCAGAAACATGATTTTACCTGCGCTTTAAGTTTCTCTTCTAATTCTGATATCACTCCAGTTTTTTCCTTGATTTCAGCCCTTAACTGCTCTATCAGCCTTTGCAATGAAACAATTTTCAGCTTCAATTTCTACCAAGAAGCAAATTAAATATTAACAACATATATGTAAAAGGTGTGCATAATGATAGTATGGGAATTAATCACCTAAAAATAACATTTTTTGCATTTTTTTTTTAAGAAATTCCAGTTGAGCACTACAGTGGAACCTCGATCAATACAAAGAACCTTTATGTAACAAAGTCCTTGGTATAACAAACTATTTTCTGAAAAAGAACCTTGATATGACAAAACCTCATTAGGGCGAACAAATTTTCCCACTTCCTTAACCCATTTGTCATAGTGAGGTTCCACTGCATGTTCTTTAAAAAATGATCCCTGAATTCCTTGTATAAATGATAAAGTGATCTTCCCCTAATTTTCATTAAAGCTCACCTCAATTTCTTTGTCCTTGCCATTCTGCTGTGAGCTAAAAAAAGCTTTTTCCTCTTGTTTTGGTGAAGGTGTCTTCACCTCTTCTTTGCCAGAGCTTTTCCTTGGGGAGTTACTTGCAGCAGATGGTGTTTTAGACACAGTCTTTAACTGAATGCCCCTGACAATATCATGGGACCACTCTGGGTCTCTTGTATGGCTACTTAATGGGGGTGAATTGGCACCCCACCCTGTTCTGACAGGGGGAAATTTAGTTGGAGAACGTCTTGATGTTACAGAAGGTTTCAAGCCAGATCTCATGCGAGACATAATGACTAGCCTAATCACAGAAACACAGCACTTGCCAAAAGACGTTCTCCTATTGGAGTCATGCAGATGATTGTAGTTCCAATAATTAACCTTTGTGATATAAATATGGAGTTATGGAGTTGATGTTTGACTTGAGCAATCCATATTTAGACATGACAATGTTATTAAATGATTTGCTCATAAAAGCGATTTTCGAATTTAGAGCCTAAAAGGATAAAACAAGTCAATCCTTTGATATACTGCGACGATAATTTTTAAATTAACGTCGCATTATACGACATACAGTGACATCACTTGACAACCATGCATGGAAACCAGTGTTAAATCTTCAAACTTTCAGTTGGTTGTCGACGGAGCTGAGATTTTTCTTCTCTCCAGAAACCAGCAATGTAGTAATAATTATAAACGAGGTAATTAAACGAGAGTGCTTCTGCCAAAACCTGTAACAACAGCCATCACTATTAAAGCTTAATGTTTCCAAAGAGGAGCGTTCTCTTCCAGCCACATTCTCGTGAAGAAAGTTCAAGTACTTTTCGCCTTCAAATTAAAAGCAATGGCGATCGTAAGGGTATCATTAAGCTAGCTTAATGAACAACAACCCAAGACGTCAACAAAAAGACATTGCCCAGGAGAAAAATCTGCATCACAAAACAAATGCCCAACGACCATCTGCCATTTTTGTTTCGTTGAGGAGAGACTGGCGCGAGTTTACTTAATAAGGCTCATGGAATATTTAGAGGGCGACCAACGACTGTTCTAGCTCTCAAAAATATCTGTTCCCTGTTCGGAGAAGATGTTGCCTAGAATTTTTTATCACTTGAGAAAGGCTAAAAATTTCTAGATAACCGTTCCTTTCATTCACAATTTTCGACGCTTATCTAATAAATTCTCCATGATTTTCTTAAGGTTAATTTTTTACATTTCTCTCCTAGGGTTAGGCTATTTTTTGTAGAAAAGAAGAAACCTAAAATTGTTGTATTCAAAAACGTGAAGGAGGGAAGAATCAGTAAAATTCTTACTTTCGTAATGCGTTAAATTGCATCTTAAATTTTGGGAAAATAATACTGAAGCCCTTGTAATTTCGAACAGACTCAAACTCCCCTAGGATGCCAACCTGCAATCAGGCGTTTCTTTTTTTCAAATGGAAGAAGGACCGCCTGATCGCAGGTTACTAGAATGACCGAACAGATACAAATGTTATTTCCGCTTAGAATGCACTTCTAGAGATCTAAAAGTGCTATGTTGGCCTAAAAAGTGTTATCAATGTACGGGGTATTTAAGAGGAAGCCGTCGTTGGGTGCCCCTGTTCCTTTAGCAGCTCCCAAAAGTAGCCCGATGTAATAAAAAAGTAAACTAAGAGCGCAACCATTGCTTTCATTTCTTCCCCTCCTTTCTTAAAACTGCTTCCTTATTCTTTTCTTTTAGTTTTTTGGCTCTACATCCCCAAAAAAGAGGTAAATATTACACTGTACTAATCCCTGAAAGAACAGAACTTCTGCTCTTTTCGTCTGTTTTCATATGAAAATCCGAGTGTCTTCTTTAGGACCTTCGCGATGTATGCACCGTCTTTTACAGGGCCAGTTACGCTCCGCGCAGACTTGATAACGGACTAAGGTATGTAATCCGTTTTATAGCATCTTGTTGAATCGCCTTCGGTCGGGACTTTTTAGATGAAATTGTTCGCTTGGAACCTGCGTCGGGCATCCAGCATCGCTGGATCACGTTGAAAAGGGTTTTCAACAATCTCGTCCCCAGAGCCTCCGTTACTTTTGTCAACATTTCTTTTGATTCCAGCCTGAATATCAGAGCTTTCAGGAAAGCAACTACTCAATCGTAATGATGGTTGAAAGAAACTTTAATATATCAAAATTTCAATATATTACCGCAATATATTGTTAATCTTTATATTATAAATTATATTTTAAACATCTTCAGTTGATACCCTTTTTACTTATGACGGTCCATGTCCACGAACATTGTCGTGCCAAAAATAAGACTTCAGAAAATCTCGGTAAAAAAATGTCTAAATTTTTCACTACATCTGATGAAAGACACAAAATTATGACGTTACCCATGATGGAGCCGATGTGATTTGTGCTTTCAAGTTTTGGCCACTAAGAGGCTAAAACTGGGAGTTAATTGATAGATATACACATAGCTTTCAATCGTGTTGATTATGAAAAAGATTATCGTCAGTGAGCGATCGTATCGTAAATTTTATGATACAGAACTTGACAACCTAATGGCCTATATATTATATATCACATAGCAATGATTTTACTATAGTTCTTCTAATATGGGCCTTATGTTTCAGGTTAATTTCTTAAAGCGTCTGCTGTGATGCACACGAAAGTATTTATTTGCTAGCAAGTATGTTTATCACATCACTCGCCAGTTACCCTATGAATTTTTTCCACTGCTTTCACAGAAAACGGAACCATTCTGTATCTATGTTCGTTTTTACTATCTTGACACAAGACTCTCGTGTTTGCGCTTGTCCTGCGTTCTGCTTGCCTCGGCATAATGAAAAATATATACGATAGGAGATAAATCAAGAATAAGCAACAACGTAGGCTATTATTATACTTGCAGTAAACTTGTTCTGATTGAGTATGATGTGAAGGAGTCCTTTATGAGCTTACTTAGAGAACTTGCTTAGCTTGACCGTCAGGCGGGGAACAACCTCGCTCTCAAGTTAGCTCTTTTCAGTTTCCCTAGACCTTGAAATCGAGGCTAACTAGGAACGAGGATAAGGTGTGGGGAAGGAGTAAGCAGAGAAGACCAAGGGTGACGGATTTTCCCTGATTGTGAAAGTCTACTAGAGCAGTAGCTCTTAGTTTCTTCTAACCAGGCTTGAAGGAACGAGCCTCTAAAATATGATGAAAGCTCCTTCTACCAAAGCGAGTCAGATATTGTAGAGGCATGTTTTGTTTGACAAAGGTTTTCTCCTCCGTTCTTGGTCTCCTTTTATTAATCTCTTTGGATCTGTTTTGACTTGCAGCTTTGGGTGGTGGTCCCGTTTGTTGTCCGAGGATTTGAATAAATGCTGTTTCACTGGGAAGCTTTATTCCTCCCTGATATGATTCCCGTGCGCGCTCGGCGGTGCTCGGGGGTTCCGAGCTAAATACTTCGCATTTACCGACAGCTACACGAGCGGGTTTCGATTTTAATTTGGGAGACTGAACTGTGCTTCCCAGACGGAGATTTCCTCGAGAGACCAGTGGCCGATTAAAGCTCTCATCGCTGTCACTGCTGTGAAAGTTTTCTACCACCGGATTACGCTGGGTTTTTTCCGGCACCTTTGCAGTTGCGATGTTCGTCCCCCTAGGTACCTTTTTAACATAGCATTCTGTCCATTGAAATTTCGGAAGACGAATTCTTTCTTTTTCAATCCGCTTAGTTTCACTCTTGGGTTGAAAACCACCTGAGTAGAAAAAAACTGGTTCATCCTGTTCATGATGCGGTAAATCCGGTTTAGACGGTACAGATGGCAAAACACTGTCTTCCGTTAGCTCCGGCGCGGTCCGAATAAGATCTTCGCGATTGTTCCTAACATCAGTTCTTTCTTCCTCTACTGTAGTTGACTGTTTTTTACATTCAGGTTTCTGTGAAACTTTCTTGCCGTTAGAAGATGTAACAATAAACGGTAATCCTTCTTTGCTCAGTTTTGCGCCGTTATTCATCGAGATCGTTTTGCGGTCACCGCTCTCTGTTCTTTTACCCGTGAGACAGATGTTCTGAAGGTCACTGCACAATGTAAGGCAGAAAATTAGAAATTCAAATCTTACATCAGTTGAATATAAAAAAAATAATGGGTCATCCTTTTTTATCCCAAAATAGTTTCAGGTCGACGGTAGCTTAGCGCGCGCAACCAAAAGCTTTTTGGAAAAACTGCGAGAAAGAGGTTCATGGCGTTTTCGTTTAAAGTAGGGTAAACTTACAACGGCGACCAGTGGCCTACAGTTAAAACATTATTGGAGGAAAATACGTCTGTTTTGCAAGCTTGATGACCTGTGGAAAAGGTTTCTTCTGACGCAAACTGCGTAGCAGACGCTTCAAAGTAATGGGCACAAGAAAGAACAGGGCGCGCGAGGGAGACACTTCTGACGCTGTATCAAACACAAACAAGGATCTAGTTGGGGCTAGGGGCGTAGCTACCCGTATGTTACTGCGCATACGCGTGCGTGAAAAATGTCGAATATAACTGAAATAACTGATGCAATTGCCTAAGTAACCGTCCGTTTACCTTTTTTCAGATAGCTTTTTTTTTTATAACAAAATACTGTGTTTTCCCGATTTCGCCAGACGCGCAAGCTGTATTTATTGGTAATTGCCTCAAGAACACGGTTTTTAAAATGATTACTTCAGTACTGATAAAAAGTAGAAATTTTATCGAGCCACCTGCGTTAAAAGTATTTGAGAGAAGGAGTAGGGTTGATTTGGAGACTCCCATACCTCTACTCAGGAAATTTTTAGCCACGCCTTTGCCGGGCGACTCTCCCATGATAGTTATACTAATAGGAGTGTACTTGCCTTCTCATAGCAGCAACTTTGTAGTAATCTGACATGGCCTCGATAAACTTCACTCGGTCAAAGGTTTGGCTAAGGCAGGAAAACAAAGAGAACAATTTAAGTCAGTAGTGTAAGCCAATAGCAAATACTGGCTTACTTTCGATCCCTGAAATCAAACGGATGTGTGTGAAGAAACGTACAGAAAGACGTGCCATGTAAATTTTATATTGCAAGATCTCTGTTTAGAGCGTCTGTCTTATTCATCTTTCTTTTCTACCCGGAAAGAAGTCATCGTATAATTGTCGACCATAGAAGTTTGTCTTAAGCTGATTTATCGGCTAGGGGAGGCTTGTTCTAGCAGGCATATGAAAACCGAACCCATTAAAGTGTGACAGGAAAGCCAGGAGATGTAGGTTTTAAACAGCCCAGTAAACAGGCGCTCCAAGGGACAACCAAGAGCTGAAATAAACCGCACACTGGGAAGAGTGAAACTGTGTACACTTTTTAAAATGGTTTTGGTTTTTAACAGGGTTGCTGTTGAAATCAGATCAAGCTCAGATGCCGTTGATCCCAAAAGACTACAAAAATTCTCGAGCAATCGTGGTTACTGCGATTTAGATCTTGACGAGTTACAAAAATCTTTTTAAGCCACTTGAGCATATGAATTCATACCGTGACTGTAGGCGTATTGCTGACAAACGTTAACTGCGAAAAACACCTTTAAAAATGGCTTAAGTAAACTAACTCGTCATTACTGAATAAAATCAAATTAAGTCTACGGAGACGTCTCGAAAACTAGGTAATTGAAACTTGAAATTTAGCTCAACATAAGCCAAAAACAGAAAGTGAGAATGGTGATAAAAAATACATCTAATTACCTGCACGGAACTGTGGTTGGAAAGATGTGTTATAGAATCGTTCCTCTTTTTAACCAAAGTAGATGTCACTTAGCCAGCTCTTTCAAATAGTATTACTCGTTTCTACTACGCGTTCGGCGTTAAAAAACACGAAGAGAGTTTAGTTTATACACGTGTCTGTATACTCGCTGATAATGTATAAATTTTCTGCGGAACTGATCTAAGTACCTGATCTGAAGTATTGACGCGATTTCCTTGGCTAGGAGTTTTCCTACATTTACATATATGCGAACGAACACAAGTGATGGGATTTTTTCCCTTAATTAGCTAACAACTAACCTTATTTCTACTTTTTAACGCAGTAATAGTGGCATTTCGCTGCTAGCAGAGGTCTCTCACGACTAGGCATAAATGAGAGACAGGAGTCAAAGAGAGTCTGTCTCCTTCCTCTCATTTTTGCCTCGTCGTGAGAGACCTCTGCTAGCAGGGATTAGTGGCATGAAGTTCGTTATTTAATTTGTCAAGCCAAAACCGAGAAATCGATGGGACGTCCTTTTTGAGAAGAGGAAAAGAAAAACATTCACAGAGGTTTTGGTAGAATGGCGTAACAAATACACTAATTTCATTGTAGCGCCATCCTCGGAGACCCAGGGGCAGATAGTGGGGGCGAGGGAAAGTCTAAACGGGCGGGAAAATAAGGCACGAAGAAAAGTAAAGAACGGCGAGAAGAGCTCTTCCCTCCGTTCTTTACTTTTCTTCGGGTACTTTATTTTTCCGCCCGTTTAGACTTCCCCTCGCCCCCACTATCTGCTCCTGGGTCTCCGAGGATGTTGTAGCGCGTGCTCGTTTGAAAAGGCGAACCAATATTGCGCAAGAATTCGACAGAAATACCGTGCTATCTTCAAATTTATACGATGCATCTCGCATCGCCGACCACTAAGAAATGGGTCAAACCATTTGGCTGAAGCACTCAACACTCCGATCTTTAAAATGGCAAATCTTGTGTTCACGCGAGTGTTTACCAGTACAACGGAAAACTGTTCATCCTGAAAAATTCAACACGCAATATCTAGCCTGTGTACAGACCTGAGGAAGGGGGGACGTCTGTACATAGGCTAGCAATATCAGGCAATACCGAGAACGAACGTTTGCAACAATGTTATTGAAATTATGCTCCAAATATTTTGCTTTGTCTGACTTTTCGGTCGAAACCCTCGGGCAACGTCTTCCCCGTCAATACATCCGTGTATGTAGAGTAAACAAGACATTATGTCAAATGGCTATATCATTAATTTGACAACTATAATTTCTAATAAAACAAACGAAAACAGTCTGTAATTTTTCGCAAAGTACGATTTTATTCTTTGATTTAGGGCATTACTATCGTTCTAAGCGATCGGCCTACCTTCTAGTTTCTGCAATCTTCGATTTAAGGAGTATTTTGTGGAAAATTCAAATAAACTTGACACCGATCAATCAGCTTGACTTGGATTGCCCATAGGAGACCAAACACTTTAAGGCAGTTTCTTCAAAATAAATTGGTCTCTTTAAGCAGTCTTACCTCTAAAATTTCTCAATGAATTGGGCCTTATATGATATCCTATTTTTAAACAAATATTCTCCTCAAGCAGAGCATCCCTTAAACTGGTTTAAAAACCACGCAAAACAATCAAAATACGATGTTAATAGTACTGACTCACCTGGAGCTGGCGATCTTGGGCAAGTAAGGGTCCGGAACATCGACACCCATCACTGGCCTCCACTCGGCCTCCGTTTCCAAAAACGCGCTGCTATGATTTTCTCGATACTGTTCTATGTAGCGCCCTGTCCTCTCATAATGTCGAAACACAAATCCACATTCGGTCATGGAGCATTTTCTCTCCTTCCTTACGTTGCTAAACGACGCGTGTGTTTTCGTTGGCTTCGAACGCGAGATTTTTTTCGCCAGGGAAGGCGTCCATCCACAGACTAAATCCTTCTCCCAGGTCTTGCTACAAACGCAAGGAGAGTCTCCGCTTTTTAGCAAGCGGTTTTCAGCTGAGTCGCTATCGTCGTCGAGGCCTTCAGCGAGGGCCTCCATTATTTTTAGTCTTAGAAACACAAACTGACATATTTTATGTTAATAAGCCGCTTGGACCCTCGTCAAGGTATTACATTATTGATTCTTCTCTTCAATAAGTTGGCGCAAGAATCATCTGATTGGTTTAGCTAAGTACCGGAAAACAATAATATGGAAATTACTTTTGCTGAATTTAAAAGGAAACAATCAACATGGCTTGTCACAGTATTGTTGGTACAAAACTACTGCATGCAATTTCCTAATTCTTAGCTGTTAATTCACACTTTAAAGAAACATATTGCACGAACACGACAAATAGATTGTTCACTTAAGCAAAGGGGTGATAATTTAAGACTTCAGGAAGTGAAAAGGACTCGCAGCATAAAGCGTTCTTGCTTCAATTAACGTCTAGCCAAGTCCCGAATTGGCAAAATAAGAAAGACTGAAAGAAACCCCATTCAAGCCTAAATTTCTTTAATTTTTGGATTTAAAACTGCAGAAAAAGAAAAACAAAGCAAAAAAAACAAAAAACAAACAAAACAAATTAAAAAAATGGTGATGTTTATTGCCTTCAAGATGAGCAAAACATAAAAATGGAGAAAAAAGATGATCAAGGCCTAAATTTTAAGGTGCCTATATGCACTTTCCGAACAAAAATATCCTGAACAAGCTTGATTTCTTAAGGTTTTTTCTCATTGTTTTAAATACATAGGTTCACTAGATTATCGAAAAGATTATGATTATCTTAAATTATCACTCAACTGCTTTATCTACAGTGCTCATGCACGATTGTGATAATTATAAATATTCACCGACACAAATAAACAAGTAATTTGTGTTCGGAAGAAAACATTGTCGATGCATATGATAACGAAAGTTATCGGAGATTTTATTCATTTACTTACTTATTTGTTTATTTTATAAAAAAATCTCCGTAAAAAAGGATTTTATAAAGTATACATTTTCTGGAAAGTGCACTCCCTGTAATCGACCAAATTTACGACAACGATCCACCTGTGAGCTAAATACAATCCTCCAGTCCGATTTGATTCTTGATATATTCGTCGCCGCCCTCTGTCCGTCCTCCCTTTTTCCGCAAAAGGGATCAGCTTATTTTGCCATACTGCCCTTACACCAGGTTTCAAAATTAAAACAATTTTGGCAAAATACTAAAAAATAAACGGGAGCGCACATTAATCACAGAACAACATTGCATACTTGCAAACTCCGAGCTGGGAATCACTAGCGCAGCGCAACGGAACTAACAGAGCAAAGTTTGCAAAATACAAAAGTTTTCATTTAGGCTTTTTTAAAGGTCCGTGATTGTTACAACACGATTTACAAAACGTTAGGGGACACTTCGTCGCTCGCATTTGCGACGTCGTCACTCGCCTTATTGCTACCTACTTCAGTACATCAGAAGAGTTCTCTTTCATACCTTTTATTCGCGCTTTAAAATATTTCATGCGGGGACTTCAAAAAGTTAAAAGCTAGCCACACGCACGCTTATCCTGACAAACATTATTTTACGAAAAAATTAAATTTGAGGAAGCATATAAAAGAAAAAAGAATGTTTATTTTTGAACGTTTCAGACTGATGAACATGGCTTGTTATCTGGAGGATTTCCATAAAAATATTGCAACACCTGAGACGAAAAGAGCTGTTCCGCCGCACCTGCAGGGAAGAAGAAAATGTGTCGGCGGCTTCCTCAATATACATAGTAAATTACGCAAAAACAAAAGTGTTCTATCATATTAAAAATACAAATCAGGCAAGTTTGCCGGAATAATGGCATTTGAAGATAGCAGCTGAAGGTTTAAAAATATCGCAAAATGTTATTCGCCTCACGTTCCGATTCAGACTGTTTTGCGTTCATTACAAACGAATTTTTTGCCATCACGTCCACAAAATCATCGTACACATTGGTGTATAACTATATTTAAGATGAAACTCAATGTGAGCTTTTTTTATAGGTTGGTGCATTGTAAATTATTATGCGTGCAGTTTCCAGGCCGCAGGAAAACAATAACTCTAACTAATCAAAAGGATTTAGAGTGATTGACAAGTGAACAACTACCAAGTATTAGGGCACGGCTGTTTTCGCCGCGAAGAGTCTTTTTTGAAAGCCAGCCAGACATATAAACCATAAGTCTCTTTAAAACTGGCACGTCGCAGAGCTACACACTCACCAAAGCGTTATTTTTATCTCGGGAGAATCCAGCCAAGCGTTGTACGGCCGCACACTGAGCGTTTTGTGGCCCATAAATTTACTTAAAACATCTTTGGCCCTACGAGACGAAAGGAAAATGGTTAAATACTTATCACAGTTGTTTTCAAACTAAATAGTAATAACCTAGACTGCTTAGCAAGCGGCAACGAAAAAGGGAAAGAATTGGCGGTGATATAAGAGCACGCGCAAAACACCTGAGAAAAAATTTTACGACCAGGGGCAAACAGAGTACGCCTTTTTCATATCCAGTTCGTAGGCGTTAAAGAGATCACTAATCTGTACGTCTATTGCATCCCAAAAAGCTCCTACACGTTCACGATCTGAAGGTGGCTATCAAAATTAAGGTCAATAAACATTTGCGATCACCTTCTGTGTTGAGCAAGAGCGACCAGCGCGTGCTGCGAGTCCAAAATTTTTACGTCCACGGAACCAAAACCCGCGAACTCTTGAGCCACCTACAAGACAGAATTCAAAAAACGTATTTCGTCATTGTCATGAATATTTCTGAGCCCTTTACTTTGAGGGACTAATCTTTGCCAGACTAGCTTCAGTAACGGGGTTACTTGTTTATTCACTGAATGTTCACTAGCCTGTGTAGCAGGCGCATCAGAAGTAAAGGGTGCGAGATAAGTGATGCACGCGCGCGAGAGAGATTCATGCGGTGAACTTAGTGATGCGCGCGAGGACGGCGAAGTTTCTCTCTCCTCGCGCGCCTCCTCTTCTCACGCGAACAGCACCGCCCTTCTTATTTGCGCGCTAAATAACTGGTGCACCTACTATGTAAGTTATAACTCAGTGTTCACCGTCATCTGTTTATTCATACTTTATTTGATGAACCACGGACTGAAGCACGTGCCAAAGTGGAGCGCCAGGGGGTGGGGTGGCTTGGTTTTGTCGCCGTGCTCTTGCCAGTTTGCAATATATGTGATTTGGTATTAAACTTCAGAGCCCGGCCGGACCGACACTATGGAGTCTTAAACTAACTGAGGAAAATGTGCTGCCTTTGCTCTAACATATACAAATGGTTAGAAATTCTAGCCTTTTCGGATAAGGACAAAAACCCGTAGGCCCCGTCTCACGGCACTCCTGACTCTTGTAGCATGTAAAGAAAACCATACTGCTGTTCACAAAGAGTAGGAGAACGTAGACCGACACCGGTGGGATGTTCAACCTTGAGCACCTGTGCGTCTATAAGTGTACTGCTAAGGCAGGTTTGCTACGGTTTCCAAGCTGCCTTGTATATTTAACCTGCTTTATCAAATAAGTAAGGACGAAATTAGAAAGGATTTTGTTTACTGAAAGGACAACTTACCGATCTAGCAACAAGTGGTCTTGTTGTTATCTTAGAAGTGATGTAAAGCCATTGCGGACGAATGGAGGGAGGTTCTGGGCCAGTCAGATTCTGTGTAGAATAAAGCAATTTGTATTTGTAGAAAAAAAAAGCAAGATTTCAATGCTAGCATTGAAACTATAATTTCTATATTTTTTTAGAAACATACCACATGCTGAACTGTTGCCCTGCTAAGATGAACGAGATTTTCAAACGGATTTAACACGCGACGAAATTTTGAGAAAGGGAGAGGTCCAGTTGGAGACCTGTGGCAAAAAGACATAAAAATCAAGTCAGGTGGGAGTAGTAAAGTTCCACTCGGAATCTGTTCTCATCGAGCGTTATGGTCGAATGCGGTGCCTATTTATACGCACACAAAGTAATGCATATAACCACCCACCCACTCACCCAAATAACCAACCAAAACATTTTTCATCCATCCATTTATTTGTGTATGCGCTAGTCTGCGAAGCAAGCGTTTCTGTTTGGTTTCGGAGCAAAGAAAGACCGAGGAACGGGATTTTCGGTTTTAGCCGGTCTCGTTATTTGTTCCAAAACCGAACGAAAACGTTTGCTACGCAATTCATTCGCTTTAAACGAGAAAGGGACTGGAGCCAAAGTGAATCCTGCAAGTACTTCTGGGATCGTTACTGGGGATGCGCTGGCCAGCTATTGGCTTATTTTCCCCTAATGTCCCTAGTAACAGTCCCAGAATTCATTGCGAAATTTAACTCAGCCCAGTTTCCTTCTCGTATGGGCCAGTTTGAGTCTGCGAGTGAGATCGACTTGGTCGTTGTTGTACCGAATTGCACTATGGGACTGCTCTTGCTACACGATGCAGCCATTCTGGCCTTAACTGTATATTTGTTATTTAGCGACAGCGCAGGGTTACCCCTCTGAGCAGTGGTTTCTCCACTGAGGCCGGACGCAACCGGCCTGGAGTAAAAACTGCTTGCAGGGTAGCGAGGGGTTTACGTTGGACTAAAATGTAAAGTAGTTACTTAAACTACCAATGTACATGTAATTTAGCCATATTAGAAACTAATAACTTACGATTTTCTGGCTATATATCTCAGTTCATTAAACAGGTTTGTGGTTTTTTGATATCAGGGATTACCTTGATGATTTATAAGCCAGAATATGTGCCATTCTCAAAAAAACTGTTCAAAATAAAATTAAAGAAAATCGTGTAAAATAGTCATTTGATACAACTGATACAAGCTTAATCTATAGCGGATAGTAGTAATTTTCAAACAAACGTGCTCATTTCTTGCATTTAGATTATTAATACGTAACCTACAATCCGTACTCTTAGAGAAAGAGGTCTGAGATGACATGTTGTCTTAAAGCTGGACCGACGTGTTGTCAAAGTCCTTCTTTCGAATGTTCACAGGATAGAGTTTTATCATGATAGTGTCAGGAAAAACGCTACCATAATTTTAGTTTTAGAGGAGGGAGGGTTCGGAGCCCCCGAACCGTATTCCTGGATACGCCACTGTAATGCTCTGTAAGTAACAACTTTGACCCCTGGTTTGACGGGTTTATTTATGGAAGGGAGAGGAAGGAGGGTTTGGAACCCCCGAACCTTATTCCTGAGTCCGCCACTGCAATGCACTGTATCTTTTAAAACAAGTTTGACCCCAGGGTTTTTTCAAAAGCCCTGGTAATAAAATTGTATTTTTACAGGACCTTTTATGTTGAACATTCCAATCTCGGGAAATGGACTTTTTTTAGTAATTTATTCATCTCCGAATTTCAAGATTTTATTTAAATTTAATTTTCATACGAAAAGTCAGAGATCGCAAAAAACGTATGCCGTCTCAAGAGCACTCAAAGTACTAATATCATATATCTCTATGTTTAGGATTTTCTCTTTCTCCAGCTTTTAACTAGTAATATTTTCGATATAAGTTGTATCACAAATATTAACATTAACTAATATTATCAGTCATTAACCCTTTAAGCCCTAAGAAAGATCAGCATCAAACTTCTCCTTGTAATATCAATGCTTTGTAAAACAGAGTGGTCATGAGAATTAAGGACATGATCACACAAGATGAATTTGCTTGATATTTTATCAACTTCTCCCCACTACTTCTGTAGGAAATGAATAGGGGCAACAAGTGAGAATTCAAATTTTGATCTTAGGGTTTAAAGGATTAAACTGAAGTTACCTTACTTAGGCTATGTTTACATTATACCGGATAGCTTTTGCGCCGGCGCGAAACCCATACCAGATAGGGTTTCTGTTCATACATAAGAACGGTGATTTCGACGCGATTTCTGTAACGCAGCGAAACTGCGCCGCGCCTAGACTACGAGTAGTCCCCCATTTTTTCTCAGTGATAGTAGAGCGAGCGAAACGCGAGGGCGCGTGAAAATCACCCCACGCGAGAAAAGGCGACACGCCGCGTGTCGCCTTTTCTCGCGTGGGGTGATTTTCACGCGCCCTCGCGTTTCGCTCGCTCTTCTATCCCTGAGGAAAAATGGGGGACTACTCGTAGTCTACCCCGCGCCGATCTCTAAAGCGGAGAATCGACATATCGTCTAGGTGTTCATGCTATACCGGATACCTTTTGAGCCGAAACGAAAAGCTATCCGGCATTGAGTGTGAACATGATAGCCTTAGTTCTCTTCTTGGGGTTGTATTTACTTTCTGCGTGATAGAGCATAGTTTTGTTGTTGTTACTTACCAAAACCGGACAGAAATGAATCGTAGCCGGCTTCATGAGGCATTTTCTCTTCAACTAAAACGCAAAGAGAAAGTCGAACATCATTTTGCACAAGCTCCTACAGTGGCCTGCGAATACAGCCGTCTGTCCTCGCTCCTCGCCACAGGGATGTTTCGAGGCAGGGGTTTCAATAAAAATTGAAGTAGACAGCAGGTTTGAAAAAAGTCCGTAACCGACTATATCAAAAAGAGGCTTTCACTTCCCTTCTTCTAGAGGGGTCTGGGGGCTTACACCCCTTGAAAATTTCAAACTATCAATGCCCTAAAATGCAATTTCCAGCGTTCTGGACGCTAAATTTAGTACAAAAGATAATGTGTTTTGGATCAAGTTGGACAAGTAATGCACATGAAGTCCTTAATTTTTCTTAAATATTTTAAATCTGAAGCAAAAAGTCTGTCTAGGTCCAGGAAATTGAATTTTAATATAAGTTTTGACAGAATTTTTTCTTTAATTTAATACTTTATTTCCAGCTTCCAATGTAAAAGAAAAAAGTTGCCGACTTCTCTGAGCAAAGTAGCCGACGTGTTTTGTCGGTCGTCGGTGCTTATTGAAACCCCTGCGAGGGAGAGACGGCGAAACGTCTCTCGAGGGACAAGGAGCGAGGAGAGACTACTGAATTCGCTAGCTAGCTCCTACAGCCACATAACAAATTCAAAATCTGAGGTACAGTAACCAGCATACCCCATTGGTCCAGTTAGGACGGATGTGGCCAGTATACTTACGATATCTGTAACATTTTTCTGAAAGTGGTATTGAGGGCGTATACAGTACAAAGTATTGTGCATCTTTGCTGTAAAAAAAAGCAAAACAAGAATTGCAAATATACAAGGTAATAATCCAGCCAAAAGGCGGCTGATGAGATAAACAAAGTTTTAACGGAAAGACTCCGCTGCGAGTTCCAACCCCTTATACCCTTTTACAGAAAAGATACCCATTTCGTATATCTTCTATTGATAAATACTTTAATATCTCTTCTTATGAATTCTTCTGATTATTTAATTACCTGTCAATTAGTTTCATTTATCTCGCAATGCTTCGAATTAAGAACCAAATTAATATCAATGAATGAATGAATGAGAACTGTAACGTTTTGTAATGTTTTGCACGTACTAATTAGTTGAATTAGTACTTAAATTTAGACTAACAGCTTTTGCAATACTGTAATTCCTTTATGGTCATGCAAATAAAGCTTTTGGGGTTGTTGTTGTTGTTGATAAATGGTGCCCCCTTCACATGCCTAGTTATGAGGGCTGCATCCCTTTTAACCGCTGTAAAATGCACTGATTTCTATGAATACATAACTAAACCACGAAGTTTTCTCGACTTTTTCACAGTCATAAAATGCGTCTGGTAGCCTTTATAGGTCCTTTTACGGACCGAAATGACAGATTTCCAAACCCTTTCACATAGTTCAACTAACGAAATCCCTACCCTGTCATATACCTGAGGCCTGAAAAAGGTACCCCTGTTGGGAGGATTCCACCCTGTATAGGCCATTATAGAGAGTACCTCCCCCCCCCCCCCCCCCCCCCCCCCCCCCCCCCCCCCCCCCCCCGCGCCCCCCTTTTGTCACTATTTCGTTTCTGTTATCACTTCTAATGTATCTTCTTTCTTTTGCTATAGAGTATAATGATCAACATACTAATGTCTTTATTTTACAGTCCTTTTCGGGCCGACAAGGAACAGTTTCCAAACCCTTCCCCCAACTTAAACAAACCAAATCCCTTCCCTGGACAAATCCGGAGGCCTAAAAAAGGTCCCCCTGTTGGGAGGATCCCCCCCTGTATAGGCCATTTTAGGGGGCGCCCCCCCCCCCCCCCCCCCCCCCCCGCCTCGTGCACAGCTGGAGTTATTTCTATTTCAGGACTATCGGGTTTATAATACAAACTGTTCGAGCGTTTTTATAACAACGATGATAAAATATGTCACCAACGTTTTGGTTTTTAAATGAAGTCTCGTTTAAGTAGCATTCGAACTATATGGAGAAATGTCTGACATGTGCGGAAAACATGTGTATTGATATTACGATTGAACGAGTTAAGCGACCAACCTGAAACAGTCCTGTTTACACTATAGGCAAAGCCTTGTAATGTTATTATACATGTAATTTTGAATAAAGTCATATTTGCAGACCATTGGCATCTCACAAATGCATAGCCTGTGCCAGGCTCTCAGATAGTACAGTGGGAACGTATTAAAACGAGCAAAGCGAAAATAAGACGCTCACGCCCTGTCTCTCCCCAGCCCTCGCGCGTTTTTCGCATTTCTTATCACTGAACGACTTTCCACCACCATCTCGGAGCCTGGAACAGGCTAAGAAATGCAAAGCTCGGGGACCCGGGATGCAAAGGTAGAGTTTCGAGACATAAAAAGTGCGTCGGATCTAAAGCTAATAAGGGGAAAACATTTTTGAACAAATCTTACCTCGAAAGGGCAGCGTGGAGTTTTTCTAAGTTTGTATCATCAAGGAAATTACGTTCGGATACAGCCTGCGGTAAAATATACACAAACGATCTGGGTTGGGTACAGTGGTTCACACGAGCGACCCAAACGCAAAGGCTCGCTTAAGTGCAAGCAAAACAGATGTTTACACAAGTTCAAGGCAGACGCAAGAAGAGCGCGGCGGAAAAAAATTGTTCTTCCTTCCCCTGAGACTTGTGGTGTCCCATTTCAAACGTAGGAGTTGCAAACGCAAGGGCCGATTTTCTAGCTCTTATTTTTTAATAGTGACCGCTCATTTCGCCTTCGCAACTAGTACGCGCGTTTCGCCCTCCCCGTTCGCTAACGTCTTAAGTCGTTTTGGTTACAAATTTATACCTTACATTACACGGTTCAACATCTGCAGAAAACCCTTTTCCTAATGTCAGCGCGTTCAGAACGTTTTTTGTTACATCAGGAAGTAGCCTGCGTGGCAAGCGTGAAAGCGGGGGGAGTCCCCCACACTCTTTTACCCCTTCGGGTTTTTTGTCCCCTTTCCCGCACTTGTCAACATTCTCAGACGATATACTGTTTTTCAGCTTACTTACTAGCCTCCCACGCAGGCGTTTTAAGGGGAGGGATGAAAAACGAGCTCCCCTAAAAACGCCTGCGTGGGAAGCTACTTACTTACTTACTGGATTTTTTCTTATCTCGAAGGCGAGAAACTTTGTATCGAAAATCAGCGGAAACAATTTGTGAACCTCCGATTTGAAGTCTTGTAAACTTTCTGTAAAACAACAACAGAGGTGCATGAATTTACATTGAAAAACAAAATTCAAGACACTAAGGGAGGTTGACCAAGAATTGTCGCTTTGTGTAAGTAAATGTAACGACTCTCCTAGGCCCTTAGATTCTTTAGGTATCGAAAAAAGAACACAGAAAAACTGCAAGGAATCTGGGGAGAGGAAAAGAGGCCGTTCCCTCCATTTCTCTCCCCAGTCTCCCAGTACCAAGGTAGGTTTGATAGTGATCCCGCAGTCCCGCTCCTTTTTCACAATAATCCCGCGTCCCGAACTTCTGTCATCATACCGTTTTCTTTCCCAGCACCACACCCTGTGCCAAGATTTTGGCGAATCCCGCTTCCCGAGTAGCGGTCAAATACCGTATCCCGTTAAGAAATTTTGCGTTTTCCCAAATCCTGTGTATACCCTTCAAGACCCTCAAAGAACAGAAATCTTCTACAAGACAGAACCGCTTTTTCCGGCGACTCTCGCACGCCAGGACCGTTTTGCTCGTCAGCTACTCTGGCAAGATTTTTCTGCGTAGAAATTATTTCACTCGTCCGCGAAAGTAATACCAAGTCCTGACGTCATATCGCTTGGTGTGCGTGATCGGCAGTAAAATGAATTACCCGCCAAGTTTAAAATTATAAGACGCCATTCTAACCGACCAGTAAGGTGGCGTCCTTAAAATAACTACGCAGTATGACACAGAACTAAGAATAGATTTAAAACAATTTCCATTGGAAGAGGGTCATGTATGGGGATTCGATCTCTTAGATCATTCTCTCTTGCCTTCTATAGTTACTGACCTGGTAATGGCTTATAAAACCTCTCATATGTCATCATCAGATCTGTCAGTACATTGTGCCCTACAAGAGGCTAGTGAATTATGAAAATTACTATAGTCAATATTAACCTATTGATGAGTTAAGTTTTGGCCTTTTTGAAAGCACTTGGCGCAAACAAACTGAGGAAATAAATGAATTTTATTTTATGAAGTCTATTGAGCTCCACTAGCACTATCGAATCTCTTGAAATTTTTAAGAACTAACTTAAGACATTTCTTTTTAGGCAATTTTTTGAGTAGTGAATTATATAAATCTATTTTGATTTTTTAAACATCACTTAGAGATTTTAGGATTAGTATATATCTTGTTAAGAGTTTTCACATATCAAGAGTTTAATTTTTATCAGTATTATTACTATTCACTGTTTCATATTTCATAGACAATAGAAACATTGATTGTAAAGCGCTGCCAGGAGCCGATTAGCACTGTTGATCTCTTTTTGTAAATAGTGCTCTTGAAGTAATAAATTATTATTGTATTTAGCACAATATCCTTGATACAACTTTCTTGGCTATGTATACAAGTACCTTTTTGCATGACGCTAAGACTTGGAAAACTCTTGAAAAACCAATCATAGCACTTAATATTCTAAAGAATAAAGAAAGGGTAGATTTTGAAAAAGGATGTCACCTAAATTTCCTCTGGAATTCTTATACTGTGTAATAATGATTAGTATGAAATGATGAATAATTATATTAACCACTGAATTATGAAATAAATTCAAAGAGTATCACCGTTAAAGATGCGAAAAGAAAAATTGGAGAAGGGGTCCCTTCTCTGATTTTTCCTGAGAGGAGGGGGGTCTGTACACAGGCTACTGTTCCCTTAACACAGGAGTCCTTCACCCAGGCTAAAGACATCAAACTCTTACTTTTCTTGTTCCTGAGTGAGATGACGAGTGTTACTTTCTTGATTATCTTCAGTAGCTGTTGCAAGTTTTTTCACAAGTACCTTATATGTAAAAAATTGATTTAATCACTAAAAGAAACTGTAAATGATAAGTACAGCTGTAATTTTATTTAAATGCTGGCTTGAGAGTACAACATTTTGTGGAAGAGTATGGGTATTTATTAATAGAGCTGTAGTCATGACAATACAAAGCAAAAAATATAGCACTTTATGATATGTTGTAGCTAAATCACCTCACAGATTAAACCACTATTCAATCCAGGTAACTAGGATTATCAGAACCATAACAAAAAGCTAACCCTAATAGAGGCTGAATACCAGTTTAACCTAAGAATGGAATACCTAAAATGCTTACAGTATATCTCATAAAGTAAATACCATAGACACATTTTACTAAAACAACTTCATTTGATACAGTATTGCTGTTTGTTAAATGTAGCTACTGGCATAGTACTACCTTAAAGTGATTCTTGACAAGGCACTTGACATCTGTATATCTTCTTTTAACTTCCTCAATAAAAAGATACTGAGCTTGATCTGGAAATCAATCATTCACTGTAAAATATTGGTCCAGGAACAACTGGTGTAGGGAAAGCGGGAAACCCAGGCAAAAATGCAGAGAAGCAGTTGCTCCTGAAGTGATTGGGAGAAGACTGCCCAGATTTGACAGGGTAAGTTGAAAACTTAAAGAATCACTTGTTGGGCAAGCTGCTGTTCAAGTTTATACTAGCCCAGATCAGTCACGCATTTTCACTAACAGTTACTACCCGTTCTTATGTCAATTCACATGTGATATGCTAACCCTACAAGTCACTCCAGTAGCCCAGGCCATGGACAGAACTTTTGTCACGTCCTTGTTCAAGTACAGGGGTGGAACCGTGTCATTAGCCTACGCTCCTGAAGGGGCTAATGGCCAAAGTAAATAGTAAGATAGTGCTACCGTCAGTATAAAAACTTGCAGTGAAACCTTACAGCTGCCAAGGATTAATTCCATTACATCATCATCTATTGCTGTTAAAAGCCACTCTTCCAGCCTGACACAGCAACTGTCTAGAACATCTTCATCTTTAATCCTGTAATGAGATCAAAGACAAAACAAAGCCAAAAACTACATACCTTGGAAACTAAACTCCCTTGCAATGAATTGCTATGTATGAGCACACACACATTTCTGGCAATTGTTTCTACTTACATGTAAGAACATTCAAGCAACAAGCTCAAAAAATGTTAAAAACGTTTATGTACTTTACCCTGAAGTAGTTGACCGGAAGCTTGAATATAAATTACCATTTGTGTGATATTTTTGGAGCACAGTAGCCTGAATCAAAATAAAATCACAAATTTTAAACTTAATGGCTTATTCAGTATCAACTTATTCTACTCAAGTGACGAACTTTTCCTGGTACTTTGGTTGTTTAACACAGTCACCTCTAACCATTTTGCTAAAGAAAGCTTTCTGAAACTAGTCAAGCCAAGCTGGCCAAAAAGCAAAACTACCTAAATCGTTGTTTACAAGATGAGAAATACACTGGCTTTAGACCTGATGCTATATTACAGCATTTGCAGTTTTGGTATCCACAGAAATTTCCCATCAAAGAAGAAATTTTTAGACAATTTTTAGACAAAAAGTTTTCACTGCCACCTCCTCTTTTACCTTTGCCTTACTCTCCTCCCTGACTCTTTAATTTTTTTCCCCATTTTTTTTCTTTATAACATAATATTACACATGTACATATGAGCAGTTGAGGTGTGAATGTGTTAATAATCTAATTTTTATTTGAAGATAGAATGGAAAATGTTGCATTGTATCTTATCAACATGTGGAAAGAACACAGAGAAAAGCAACCTTTATTATGAGGAAGGAACATACACGTACCAAACATGTACATGTACTTTCAGACTAAATAAAAACTTTTCTTGTACCTACTAGCATTCATTTTATTGTCTAGTTTGTTTTGTTTTTTTTTGTGGTCCGGTGTATTTTGGCATGGTGACAAGCTTACATGCAGTAGATTTCACACTCTGGCAAAGGCCATCCTATAATTCACATAATTATGTCTAATATCCACTGAATTTTTCTAGCATACCTGATCATCATTTAAATATGGAACTCCATTGTATATGAACTGCAAATAAAATTTACTATTTTTTTTATAAATGTATAGAAAATTTATATTCAAGTCAATAATCAATCAATATTCACTGTGTCAATCATGTATTAGGATAGATTTAGATTTATGCAAAAGCATATTTACAGGAAGAATATCAGCACATGTGAATTTAACAAATTGACACCAGGTTTTTTATGTGTCTCTCCTCTCATTTACTTGAAGATAAAATGATGCCGTAACGTTGTCAAAGTGCTGTGGATCCACCAACTGCAGGCGTCAACTGGCGCCAGTTTGTTTTTTACAATGACAAAAGCTTGAAAAAGTCAATTTGCTGGTAAAAATGAAAAAGACACAACAAAATTTATAACTTTTTAAAAACTACTCACAATGTTATTGTCAATAAGTTTTCTCGCCTGGTGATTGGCTATTGAAGACAAGTAACGCAGTGTCATCGGCTAAATATTTGACAGGCTGAGTCATGCCATTGTCCTGCATAAGTTAGGAGTTTATTGTTTTCCAAACTTCAGAACAAGAATGAGATCAGCAGTGTTTATTGTCTCGAAAAATGGAGGCATTTTGGGAGGTAGTATAAAGTTGTGAACTAGCACAAGGTTAATTATTCCAAGGACAGATTTTGGAGTCATTCAAAAAAAAGAACAAGTCGAAGCATCGTATGGTTGAAGGGAATCCAAACAGGATGCAAGTCTTACATCAGAGCTATCTGTCTATTTTTTTAGTAGGCAGAAAGTGACTCTTCTATGAAAACTAAACTAAAGAAAAACGTTGAAGTTTGGCATTCATTTGGCAAATGACCACATCTATATATGTCTTAGTATATGTCTTTCCTCTTATTGATCATAAAAACTAGCCAATCAGCACACAACAAATAATTCAGTTTTTTTTAAAAAATATGACAGCATTCTCTATTGTATCTATAAATCAATAATTAGATGCAGAACTATTTTTTGGAGAGTCAAGAGTTTGCTCAGATTTGTTTTTAGAGTTTGGCCCAATACAGGGATCATGAAATAAGGAACCATACATATTAATGATTTAAAGAATAGAAGTTGCTATGAAAGGTCTCAGGCATGCTATAGAACCTGTCCAGTAGTTTTAAATTTTATCTGCTCGCACCTTATTAAAGTCAAAATTGTGTTGACATAAAAATTCCAGACTTGATGCCTATAAAAGTTGGGATGAAAAAAGGTACTGCATTTAATATTTATTGTTTAACGGTGTTGAAAATCAAAATTTAAAAATAGAAGGTGAAATATAAAGCTGCCAACTAACTAACTCTGACTGACTTGTTCGGTACCTGACAAAGGAATCTGCAATCTGTAGGTCCAAAGGAGTGTGGATATAAAAAGATGTTGTATGCATGGGCCACATACCTGTAAAAAAAAGAAAGAATGAACCGAAAAAGAAATAAAAAACAGCGAGAGCGTTAGATCCCTTGGTCCTCTCTCAGCATATGTAATTGCACAAAAATAAAATTCCAACCCAGCACACCAATGCATACACTTTAATATGGTCTCAGCTACAGGTCCGGTAGTAAAGGTGATCTTTGCCTTTCGTTTGAATGTGATACAACTTTCTATCACAGCACAAGTTAGGAAGGGTATTTTGTAGAACCCTGAAAAGCCACCAAATACTGAATGACTCTGAATTTTAGAGATTAGTGTTGGGAAACTGAGTGAACTGAGTTCCAGTTGGTAGCAAAGGGTACCTTCGAGGCATGTTCAAGGTATCATTTTTTGGATGTGCAAAACATAAGGCTTCCCTGTCTGTTGCACTGGAATCTTGCTATGGCATTAATGCAAATCAAGGGTAATCAAAGCCAACTTTTTGTCCCGTGGAGAACCATTCAAACCACCCAAACCTCCAATACATGCAAATTACATACAGTGTAAAAATATTCTTTATTTAACAAGGTAACATATTAATGGTCATCAAAATTTCTTCTACTACATGGGCATGATAAAGCTGCAAAAAACATCCACACCAAAAACATTTGCAGGGAACATACTTGTTAGAATCTTCTTTGGATGGGACAAAAGCTGTCAATCCTGTAATTACAAAAAAATGATATTTAAGGTAATAATATTATTAGTTTGTGGTTTTGTAGTTTGCTCACAAGTCCTGATCTTTGCTGTGATTGGTCAATCAAAAATCATTCTTTGAACAGGTGTTCACAGTTTTATTGGTTTGACAATAAAAACAAGTTATCACGGTAGAAACCCTTAATTCACAAAGGTGACATTTTGAGCACTAGCCCATTAACCTAAAGCAGGTCAAGCAGATAATTACTTTATCAGTAACTATCTATTATAGTAATTTGCTTGAACATTGGCAATGCTGTGAAAAAAAAAATGACCAAATTTGCAGGCAGAATTTGGTCCAAAAACATTCCGTTTATGGTGGTATGGTGGAATGGGCTATTAAATAAGGCTAGAAAAAATGCAAGTAAGGGAACCCTCTCATACTTGCATCTGTTTTCTTTGGTCCACTCTTCATCTTTTTTCCATCTAGCCTATTAACTACTGATAAATGGCCTTAAATGCCTGCAACAGGCCAGTGAATTTACAAATTTGGCATTCCATTACCATGTAGGTGCTCATACTCAATTAAAAGAATCTATAATATTACTGTATTAAAGTCATAAATTCAAGTTGACTGCGTGCAGACTTCTCCTGTTGCACGACATGTTCCTTTTCCACGTGCAACAAAGGAAATAGGAGACATCTGCACACAGGCAAAAAATTAATTCAAGAAAAGTGTCTAGAACTCACCATACTGGCTGATCAGAAACTGGGATGCAGTTCTCTTCAATTTTTTGTATCTTGTTTCAGGATCATCAAAAAAGCTGGAGAGAATAATAATCGAGTTACAGACAGAAGCGTAATGTGAACATACTGTAAAATAGCCACTTCAATATAAAATTGCAGTTCACTTTAGGCAATACAGGAAGGGTCAGGCTTCTAGCCAGATATTGAAAACTGACCGCCCAGAGGGCATGTTTTTCCATAAAATTATAAGAGATTAAGTGAATTTTCCTTGTATTTCTTCCAAAAATGGGCATCCATAGGACAGCTGGACACCCTTCTGGCTAATTAACCTTGGGAAGGATAAAATAGAAAAACTATCATGTATTCTTACACAAGTGGGGATGGAACAGGGGTCAATTTAATATAACTATAATATTACAAGTGTAGCTCTTGTTTCTAGACACTAAAACAATGGGCACACTTGTAAATTACACTTAAGTAAAAGTTCTATGAAATTGGCCCCAGGACTATTACATGTAAGAACTGTTTTGCATATGTCAGTGCATTCCAGATAAAATTCAAATTTGGAAGCATACAGGGAAGGGGAAAACTGAAGAACCCAGAGAAAAACCTCTTGGAGCAAAGGAAAGAACCAACAACAAACTCAGCCCACATATGGTGTAGATGTCGGGATTTGAACCCACAAAACATTGGTGGGAGGCAAGTGCTCTCACCACTGCGCCACCCTGGCTTCCATAATCTTACATTGCTTCTAAATCCCGCCCTTTCCCCCTTTTTTGGTCCACTTGCTACCCCAAATGCTGTGTTTTACATTTTCCCTACTGGAAATGCACAAAGAGGGGTTAATATTCATAATATGATACCTTGGCTGAGAGCCATCAGTTGTATGGAGACCAGTAAATTCTGCATCAATAGCTGCAAATAAAATCATATTAAAAGAAAATATATCATTTGGTTCACTTATAATTACGTAAGCGTACATATACCGTCTTTGAAGATGGTCTCTGGGTACAACAGCTCTGGGCATGGCTGGGGGTCTTACATGCATGTGTAGCCCCCTTCCCCTTTTGCAAACATTAAGTTGAATAACTAATTTACCGATAAACTTTTATTATGAAATTCACATGAGGATTTCTTACTAGCAGTGACCAGAGCAGTGCCCGATCCAGACCTTGAGATAAGGGGGCTGGGGGGGGTTTGCGGGGAGGTCATCCAGACCTTCAAAAATTTTTTTGGCACTTCCACAGGAAAAAATAACGGATTCCCATTTTTGGATATTTTGGGGTATTTAAACAATACCCATAAAAATCCCAAATTTGGCAAAGTGAGACAAGTCCCAACCAGGGAATTCCCAACCAAGTTCCCTGATTGGGACTTGTCTCACTCTTCCAAATTTGGGATTTTTGTGGGTATTCTTTAAATTCCCTAAAATATCCAAGAATGGGAATCGGTCATTTTTTCCTGTGTTCGGGTCTCAGTTTTGGTCTAAAAATAAGGAGGGGGGGGGGTGCGGGCTCCCCGTGCCCCTCCCCTGGATCTGCCACTGCAGAGGTCATGCCATCATTAAAAAAAAAAACTATTACAAAGATCTGGAAAATGCCAGTCATTATTAATATTACTATCATTATTATTATAACATGTAGCATAATTTCAAAAGCTGAGGGTTGGGGAAAGGGGACTTGCTCAAAAGATGCTGGTGAAGGACTCCTCTATTGACAAATCCCACCCAAGTCCTATTAGTCAGTGACCGTGAATAAAATATCTCCCCGGGGGTAACTCCTGGGTAAGACATGGGGTGTACCTATAGACAGCAGTTGTCTCAGTTTGGTGGTCAAACCTGAATGATCAAATCAACAAAGGCATGTTTCAAAACAGGTCTTTCTCCTTCCTCACTGAATTTTCTAGTGTCACGAAGTAGAATAGCCTGCGAAGCGCAGACGCATTTCCGATGGTCGCTTCTCTCCCTCCGAAAAAATAGCTATTTTTCGGAGGGAGAGAAGCGACGACCGGAAATGCGTCTGCGCTTCGCAGGCTAGAAGTAGAAGGGAAGGTGAAGCAGAAGAGAGGTCTGAATTTCCTAGTTTTCACCAGGTCTTTTTAGGATCGGGAACGACCGTCATCAGCAGTTTAGGTTTCTATAACAAAATCTCACATACCCACGAAGGCACTCTCTTCGATAGCTTCCTTGATCTCAGGAAAAACATCCTCGAAGTTGTTTCGCACAACTTCGACCATATTATCAACCAGGCGAAACAACGGGTAAGCAATAGACTATGAGGGACTGGATCGACAGAAATGACGATAGTCACGTGATATTCTCTTCTTGCTTTCCCGCCAATTTTCAAGATGGCGCCTGTTGCTTTGTCGTTTGTTGTTCGCTTCAGTTCCGAGGTAAGAAATCTCGCCACAGTGAATCTTACTTCTGCTGTATTTATAAGCTTCAGTTTTTAATGCTTAAGCTGTAATAACTTATTATTTTATTAGGATGCCATCTTTAAAGCTGAGAATATGTGCAAAGGTAAAGCCGACGGCATGAGCACTTGGAAAATCGCAAAGGAAGACATGAATTGTGGTCGAATAGAGGCTGAATTTCAACTGGAAAAGGCTTCCTACATAAGCCACATTGATATTGGTGTGTATCAATAATTAATTACGATATTTTGGGCTAAAGTTTGCCATTATGGTTTGAACAATAATACACAACTGCGCTGTTTACATGCACCAAGGTTGTTTTGTTTGATTTGACACAAAACAAAGGCTTCTTTGATATATTTATTTAAGGTCATAAGAGATCACTGGAGCCTAATCGGGGTCTCTCGTTTCTTTGGTGATCTTTTTGTGGAGGAATTTCCAGGTTTGCCTGAAACCATTCGGCATTCGGCGTGGACTTTGCGAAGCCTATTCCGGGTTTTAGGCAAAGCCCAAGGCACGGAGCAAGGGGGGTTGTATCACAACTCTTGATCTGCCGCGAGGGAACGCCGCGAGGTGCTTAAGAGGTAAAAACAAAAATTCCTGTCGGGCCAAAACCTGACCAACTGCCCAGAACTTTACCCAAGAAAAACTTTGAGTTAAAGCCATAAAGGATAAGAATCTGGCCATTGCATGAGGTTTATTTGATCCCTGAAAGATGGCATTTTAAACAGAAACACAAATGTGGTCTATAATTAAGGCTTATAGGCAAAGATGTTTTAATATTGAATGCCTTCTCTTTTTTTTTGTTCCCTGCTTTTTTTCTTTTGCTTTCTTTATTTCGCTATTCTCAGCTCTGACAAAGACCTCAAATGAGACAAGATAGTGGTGTTCTTTCCTGATCACCCTAGGTGATACTAAAATCTGTTATTTAAACCCCCAAGGGAGACAACAATCATCTGTGCTCCTTTAACATGGATAACCCCCCAACCCTAAGGATGATAAACTGTCTTCGCATGAGTTTCTGTGAACAGTTAATATTAAAGTAGAATCGTGGAATAAGGTCCACAACTGGTGTTACAAATTAATAGACCACTCCTGAGTTCCAAAAAACTCTCAGTTACAATTAAATTGAGGCAAAGTGAAAAATCTTTCTTGTAAAAATTAGTTAAATTGTCATGAGAATAAAAATCATTCTCTTATCAATGGCTTTGCACTTAGAATTGGAGATTGGAGAATTCTCCATTCACTACTACGCAGAATTCTCTGGTTAACGTTCAGTAGCCTGTGACTGTCTTTATTCAGATATGGAGCCTTTTTCAAAATATTCTCTTGTAAGGTTACACCTTTCTCTCAATACTAGAATTCTTACCGAAAACCTTTACTTAGCCTTGCTTTGAAACAAATTCTGTGGGAAACTTGGAAATGGCCTGTTCAAATCTTTATTCCCACATTCGTTGCATGCGAGCAGTGAAATTTAACGTGATTTTTGAGGACTATAGTAAACTGTGCCTGTTCAAAATGCTAGCGTTCATTGCCTTCAGCTTGTTCAGTATATATATCTTGGCCAGGTGATGATCTCACTTTGTAATTTGTTAGGTAACTGTGGCTCTGCATTCATTGAGATCCTGGTTGGAAACTCTATGTGGTCTCAGGACAAGCCTTATGTGACCTTGCTACCTTCAGCTATGCTTATGAGTCCAAATGAATGTAAACACTGGATCAAGACACACACTGTTAGAATGTTCAATCAGAGTATGTATTTTAATATTTTGTCATCAGCTTTGCAGTTTGTTATCGATGATAAAACATTAATAACTGTGATTTGCGGAAAGCAGCATGGTCGAGTTGTCAGCAGAATAGCCTCGTAATCCAAATGTCCTAGGTTCATTTGTCTCACTCTGGCTAGTTGTATCTCACTAGCTTTGAATTTACCCGCTCTGTCACACTGTATTGTGCAATATGCAGGAAAAAGAGTTTTTTTAGGTTATGTAAATACAAAAAATGGAACTGAACAATTTACAACCTATTATGCAGGTGCCTTTTCCAAACAAGCCCTAGGAAGTCAGTGGGATCGAATAAGAGTTGTCTGCCGTCAACCATACAGGCATGATAAACAATTTGGACTGTCCTTTTTGAGGATGGGGTCTGTTCCAGATGATCTAGGAACAGAATCCCCTGAGGGGGCGTCTGGCATAGCAGTCACACCCACATCGACAAAGCAGTCTGATGAAGAAACTGATGAGGATGGTGTAATGAGATTAAAGAAGGCTTCTGGGTTAATGGGATGCCTAAGGTACAAGAAACTTTCACTGACTGTTTAAATTAGTTCAAATATTTACTTTTCAACCAATATTTTTCCAAATGGTCAACCCCACAGTGGGAGACATGAACTGTTAGTGATCCTGGCCACTGACATCTTGGTTTGTTCAGTTTGCAAAACACTGGTCTGTGAGGCTGGAGTTCTTGGAAACATCAAAAAGTGATAGATCATGCTGGCTGTGATTAAGTGCCTTATTTTTGAGCTGTCTCCTTCATATTGTTCTTAGCCAAAAGATTACAAAAGTAACCAACACTGTTGCTTAAAGAAAGCAGGCGTGTAGAGCCTAATGGTGTGGCATACCTTTTATATTACTTCATTTTAAAGTGGAAGTAGTAGTGAGATTGGTGAAAGAAAGGGACTGACGAAAAGTGGCTGTTGCCTTCTTTGTGGTGGTTAATCTTACTGAAAATGTGATCAAGACCTCTGTTGTCTGCTAATTTTTCATTTGCTGTGGTTGTGATAACCTTTAAACAACATTTTACAGGAGTTTAGAAAAAGACAGCTCACCAGATGTACCGCTAAATAGAGCAGGAAAAATGTTGCAGGCTGCTTTAGATGGTAGATCCCCAGGAACACCAAGAAACAACGTAAAGAACAAGAGATCACTGTCTCACTCATCTGCAGAGATTTCCTCCAGTCCTGAAAGTCCTTTCAAGAGAAGAAACTCTCAATCACCTTGTGAAGGTTTGTTCATATTTGCCAGGTGTTTCATTTATTTACTGCTGTATTGTATGGTATAGACAATGGCACCGGGAAAATAACTGCTTCCATTGCTTGCAATTCCTGTAACTGTGAGCCATGGGACCTGAGGCCAGGTACCCATCACATAAGAAAAGATATTAGACGAAGGCAAGAAAGGAGACAATAAAAAGACCTTAAAGCTCCATAGAAAATCTGCAGCACTACCCGGCACTTAAATATGCTGCTTATGTGCTTAGTGAGCTATCAGGTGTCAGCATTCTGATACCACATACACCACATGTGTACAATGCACTGTTTTGAACACTTCATAAGCTTAATGTTTCATACTACAGGGGAACCTCGATATAAATGATATTTTAGCATAAAATAAAGGTTAATGTTGGCAAGCAATAACCTGTGAGCCTGCAGATCACTGCGGTTTTACCCCACGTGGTATCTCCTTATTTGACACTGTGTCTTGTATATTTTGCGATATGCCCTCTCAGTCGGCAACTTTCTTATTGCTGCAAGTTCAAGCAGTAAAGTTAATGTCCTAATGGAATACTCTGCCCTTCTTTGTCAGTGCGCTGTAACATTAATGAACCTCTATATATTGAAGTCCGTGGTAAAACAAATGGTATTCCTAGCCCTAGTAATAGTAAAGGTTAGCATTGGTACTAAGGTAGTGATGCCGCTCTAAATTGGGGATCCAAAGGTCAGTTGAGGGGAACAGGATGCCTTCAGCAGGCAGACGGTTTTTGATCAATAGGGTTTCAATTTAGAAGATCCATTTTGCAATAACATGCGTTAAATAGCCATTTTTGTGAAGTGATTTTACTGCATGGAAATTCATGATCACTGAGTGATGGGAAACAACACAGAGACCGGTATATACTTTCCACCTTTCAGTATCGTGCCCATTTTATGCAAACCTTATGCACAGCTACATCAACAGTTGGCAGTAGCGCAGTTATATAATGAAACCTCCTTATAGCGAATACATTTTGTCATCCCCGTGACCCTTTGTTATATAGACTGAGGACTTCCACTGTATATTCACTGTAAAAAGAAAGTTTTTAACCTCCATGGTGAGGAAAACCAGAAAATTACTAAAAACATTATTTAACTGCTAAAATTTACTTTCAGGACCAAGTGATAAGAAGAAGAAAAAGAAGGAGGAAAGAAAATATAGCCTTACTGGGGATGTAAGATTGTCATATTAATGTTTACTATTGTTGTCTAATGCATTATTAATGTGTTGCTTAGCAATCATTCATGACGCATTTAATACCTTCTTGTGTATTGTTTAATAAAAATTATATCAGAAGTATGCCTTAAGAATCTAGATTTACGAAATATTGTTTCAGACAGTTTTAAGAAATTTGCCTAAAAATCTTAAAATAACTAATTAGAACAGTCAGATGTCATCTAGTGCTTGGGACTGTTAAATGTAATTTGGATAGATTTTTTAAAAGGGATTTTAATTTAGTGGTTCCTCTAAAAATAATCTCTTTGAGGTACAGTAAGTAAGTGTTTGCTTGTCTTGGTTTATTGATGTTTTCATCCTAGATTGGTGAGATCTTGCTGATTATTCTATTTCTTTTTTTTTTTGATAGATTCATGATGAAGTTGCTTTATTTCTAGAAGAAATTGATTTTACCAGAATGGACCTTGAAAAAATTACCTTTAAAGGTGCACAAGTGAATGTTATTCAAATTTGTGTTATGGTGAAAACTGGCACATTACAGCTGGTGACAAAGAAAATCCCCTTGTTCCCCCGTCCATGAGAATCTTGCAAATGTTAAAAGTGTTATGAGTAAAGAGATTGAGAACATCCTACTTTGAACAAGAGCGGAGTATATTCTGATGTACACAACAATCACGTAAAACCAATCATAACAAAATCATTATTATTTTCTAAGTACTTTCAACAAGTGTTACCCTCTCTAAAAACCACTGTGTGAAATGCACAGCTAAGCAAGTTCATAAACATGAAAAATATAATAGAGGTGCTATAATTGAAGAAAAACTGGCATAAGGAAGTTCTTATCTTGTGGTGTGGGATAAACATAGCAGACTTAAATGCCCACATGTCTTTTTAAGTGATGTTTTTATCTTAAGTGCTATAGTGAGTACATCTTGAGACAAACTACAAATGAATTAATAAAGGCCTAATATTTAATAAACCCTGCTCATTTTATTTGTCTAAGTCACGTGAGTGTTCTTATTTTCACAGATTTAAGGAGCCAAATGGAATCGCAGAGGGGATGTGCCCTTACTAAGCTGGAGAAAAAAGTATTTCTTGAGGTACAAGTCAGTCCTTTGGTGGTGTTGTGTTTAACATGAATGGGCCCTAAAAGGGCTTTAGTGACCAAAAACAAACCTCTCCCTTTACATGCTTGTGTTTTAATATTGGTTCTTTCTGTTTTGGTTTTTTTTTTTGCTTTAGATGGCTAAGGCTGAAATTGAGAAATTAACACCAGCAGAAGAAGATCTAGAAGTAGGAGCCATCCTCCAATACTATCAGATTGTTGTTATGTCTTGAAAATTATTATTATACTAGAAAGAATTTTCCTGGAAAATTCTTAGATCCAAGTGTTAGTGTAAGTTGTAAGTTGTTAGATGTAAAATAAATACATTGGATCAAATTATATTCTTTGTAATGTTTAAGTTGTAGTACTTAACTACGTTTGCTTCTCTATGCGTATTTGAAGGTTGATGTTGTCAAACTGTCCAGAAGTGATCCTCAAGACAGCCCAACTTTGAACAAGAAAGTCACCAAAGAAACAAATGAAAAAAAGAAATGTCCTAATCAAAGGTCTGTTGTAACAGTAGTGTGAATTGTATCTCAAATAAACTTTTCAATGCCATGAAAGTTTAAATGTTTACCATGATACAGCACATCAATAGCTACAATTAGCAGGTAACCACACAAGTCACCAATAGTAGTCTCACACATTACTTGTTACTTACTAAAATTGATGTAATGTTTGATTAGAACAAGAAAAATTTAAGTCAGTCTTTGTACTATCCATGTTTGAACTAACCGCTCATTGTAAAAATATTTCCACTTTCTGATGCATTGAATTTTGAAATTAATCAACCATTTTTCAACTGCAGAAAAAGAACCATCCTAAAAGAAGGAGTCAGAAAAAAGCCACTTTCAACACAGTCTTCTCCTTCAACAGTCCCAGCACATGAGATCAAGGGCCAGTATATTGCAAAACCTCCTGAGTTAATTCCTCTTGATGATGTACAAGATGCTGATTTCCCTGTTAGCTCAACAAGAGTTCTTGTGGAAGATGATGATGATTTCCCGTCTATGTTGTACTCAAGTTTCGAAGGCAAGCAGCCTGAGAAGGAAAAGCCCTTCTATACTGAAGAGTTCCAGTTATCACCTGTCAAGGATAAAGCATCAACTTCCTTTGTGGAATGCCCACTATGCAACAGACTCTTTCCAGCAAAAGAGGTTGAATTCCATGCTTCCTTTTGCATTGGTGCCTCAGATGCTGCACCCAGAGTTACAGAGCCTGAGGTTGAGTTATTGCCATGTCCAATTTGCTCAAATCTATTTCCAGTGACTCAGATAGAACAACATGCAGATGAATGCATTGAGGCCAGTACAACAGAAGGTAGTAATAGCATTCATAGAGAGGCTTTGGCTATTTGATAAGAGTTTTAGTTTTATTAGCCTCTGAAGGTTGTTTGTTGTAAAAGATATTTGTCAACTTATTTAGTGAATCTGTCAAATGTTTTTTTTATTAAGTCTGATAATTGTGTACTAAACCTGTACACAAATGTACATTGATTTTAACAAATTTTACTTACAGATGCTCTAATGATGCAAACTGCCAAGCTTATACATCACTATAACTGGCTATTAAAGAACTAAAAATGATATGTACATAAATATTTTTGATGCCTTAATTAGATGTTAAAACAGGCTATTTCCAGTCATGTACACATGTCTGTAGCAAAGTAATGATTTATACAGTAAGTTAGAGGGAAGAATCAAAAGTTTAACTTGAAAATGTATGTTGATGACTCACATTAGCAATAAATAAATAAATAATATATTGTCATTTTGTTGGTGAAACAACAACAAAATTGTGCACTTCAGGTAAAAAGAACCAAAATGTTCCACATCCTGTCTTCATCAAGAAAAGTTATGCCTTGTGGTTTAAATCTGACACAGACAGATATCCCCAATGTAAATTTTTAAAGTTTTGCATTATTTTAAAATGCAACTTTACTAACCTGGTTTATGTACGTAGAGAAATCCCCACCACCAATCCCAACCAGTGAGTACAGCAAACATAGTTAAACAATAAGAACTTTTGCCTCTTTGCTGCACAATTTCTGTCTTCTCATCATAATCTTATTTCAAAGGTTCACCCACTAAGATAATAAGCTCAAAAATTCAGTTCCTCTAAGACACATTGTGGTATATCTACCTCACATGACAAGTCCCAGAAATTAACTGGTAAAAAGCTGTCTATTGGAACAAATTCATCACTACTGATTGGTATTACTTGGCAAGTAGTAAGAAGTTTGGCCATATCATCCCAACTTGTGATAAGCCAACTTTTTTCATGTCTGCTGGGTTTGCCTAGTTGATCTTGTGCTCTGCCCTCATTTTGTGGCTCATTTCGCTCACAAGGTTCTAAACAATAGTGAAAAAATGTTCAACTTAACTTGAACATGTATAAGAGTATCACTAACTATAAAATTCATAACTGAGTGCTATAATTATTTCTGTTATGTTGTAGAAAGCATCCAGAAACATGAAAAAAGAAAAAATTACATGAATTAAAATAATTTGCATAATTTCTAAGGGTAATCTTAAGTTTGAAAGTATGATTTAAAATAAATTTAATTCTGAATGCAAAGAGCAATCAAGCTTCTTTTCAAATAACCATTCCATTAGTTAAAAGAAGCCCAAAAGAGAAGCCTGCAAGTTTAGTTGTTGTCAATACCTTTCTCCATGGATGGGATTGTGAACAAAGCAAGGGGCTTTCCTTTATAGTGCACCTTAAAAAAATATGGTAAAGCAGGTCAAAAAGAGCTAATCAAAAAAGGAAACTGGGGACATAATCTGCTTATACCTCAAGGTTAAGAATAACATACCACTTATCAACCGATAGTAAGGATAGGCTGGGGTCCGAGATTTCCCCGTAATGACCAAATGGACAAGGTTAAAAAGTTATATATTATATGGCCCTTTTAGAGCTATTAATATTAAACACCTTAAGTAACTGAGCCTGTGATCAATAAAAATCAATAATTGGTGAGCAGATAACTTAAAAAAAACACATCACCCCACTGAATTGTACACTTGAGCCTGTAATACAGTCATGTGACACTGGTCAGTTACCTTTTTTTCAATTAACCATAACATGGATCCCCCTGCATGGATCTTTGCTACCAAATGTTTGCTGTATATGCCTAGAACACCTAGCAAATAATGCCAGGTCATTACAAGAGAATAATGCCCACTTAGCAACCAATCAGAGTGCGCGTACTACTGTAGCCATATAATAACCTTGGATGTTTAACAATGTGATGCAAGATACTAAATTGAAGTCATGCACGGGAGTGACAGGAAGAATAATATTGTGATTTGCCCACAAAAACCTTGTAGGAAATTAAACCACTAACTCTGGTAACTGATCAGGTACACAGATTATAATGAAACCCCTTGACATCAACACCAAAGAGACGGACCAAGAGCTAAGTTTTCACATTATTACAAAACGTTTCACATAAAAAGTTAAAGCCAATGTTTTTTCCTCAAGATGTTGACACTTTCCATAGCTGTCAACTGCCTTTCTCAAAGTAGTGGTGCAGTCATTTTGTGGTAGCTTTCAAGTGTGCAAAGATTGTTTACAGCCATTAAGATTGTCAATATCTTGAAGATAAAATTTGGCTACACGTATATGTAAAGAATTTATGACTGTCTTAATTTTCGACTATTCTGGCCTAATGAATTTCTTCAAAAGTGCCCAAGGATAACTTTCGGTAATCATGGTTGTCCATGCTTTAATAGCATCTGTAAGAAGAGGTTCCACCATGATTTTAATGTGTATCTACATTATATTTTACCATCTTATAAGCTTGTGATTGCTTCACAGTTGTCCAACTCCCTGTCACTGCTCTCATCCATGCCATTGGTGTGCGGAATGTCTCCCCTCCAGCTGACTCTATCAAACCATTTCGCCTTAGTGATGCTTCAAAATTTCTCCCCTGTTGACAAAATGAAATTTTTTTTAAATTATTTGTGAGATAAATAATAATACTGTAGAGCTCAAGGAAAAAAACTTTACCTGGATGGTTTTTTTTTTCTATATAACCCCAATTTTTTGAAGAAAGCGTATGTAAGTTTTAAAGACAACCAGTGGTATTTTGGAAGTCACACTGAAAGATTTCTGTGAATTTGTTAAATGTTATTGCAGTACTGATAATACAGTATATACAGAATTAGTATATACTAAAACAGTGGATAGTGTTTTTCGCGCGCTCTGATTGGCTACTCAATCAGTGAATATCCTGCACTATTCACTGATTCACCTCCAGTTCCTCCGGGCGAGCGACGCCAAACTCGCGTAAGTTGCAAGCAAAATGCCTTCCCGGTTTGCTGCCGTAAACAAACAAAGAAATTTCACAACTAATCAAGCAAGCTGTTTCCGAAATACACGAAGAAGGTGACGAAGTTCGGATTGGAAGTTATATCGATAAAACCGGTGAAAAAGTTTTTGTTTACAAATGCAAATTAAGTTTAAGTCTTGCTTACTTTATTTAGTTGAGTTGTTCATAAATAAGCTTAAAACTAAATTTAATAATCTTTTTTTATAGAATGACTTTAAATACAAAAAGAATTCACAACTCCTTTTGAAGAAATTTCCCCGCAAGAGCTAAACAAATGACTTCAAAAGTCTTAATTGTCGGCAACAAAAATCGACGGCCGCAGCCGCCCGGTCATTACGCGCCAAAATTGTAATCGTTGGCAACAGTATTTGAGTTAAAAATCGTCATTTTTGTGCTCAACTAAAACAATTATTCACCTCAGTGTCGGTGGCTAGTCGTGGATATTTACCTCACTGCTTCGCAGTTTGGTAAATATCCAGGACTAGCCACCTCTACTTCGGTGAATAATTGTTATATATTGGCATTTTTTATTTCAAATTTGACAAGATAAAATAGCTTATATTTTGAGAGCCTTAGATAATCTTAAGAGCATTCCTTAAAATCATTACTTCATACAAATCTTACACAAAGCAGGATATATGTGTACCTCAAACTGTATGGAAAGAACATTTGAGCCTGCTTCAATGACATTATTACTAAGAAGACTTTTAATGTCAGGCAGGTCTGAACCAAAGGAGTTCTGTCTTTGTATACTTCGACTGCTCTTGGACTGAACAACCTGTTAAAGAATGAACAATATTTTCATGTTCAAACATTATGATTGAAAAAATACATGGTGTCTTATTTCAGAGATTTGCATGGTCAGTAAAGAATGCTCGGGATAAACAATTAAATTTAAGTGTCTGAATTCCTCCACTAGGGGGAAGAAAATAAAAGTTGTTGAAACCATCCCCTTTTGTATATTGTGGAGCTGAAATTGAAAGAAATATAACGTGCATAAGTGTAAGCAGAAATCAAGACTGAAGATGCATTACTACTTACAGTGGCCTTAGAGGTGAAGGATGTAATTGACTTGTTGGCTTGTACTGTGCTCTGCAGCCCTAAAGAGCTATGGGATGGTGTCTGCACTCTTGCGCTCCTTAGCATTTGTGGAGGTCTGTTGTTTTCATTTGTCACAGGTGAGAAAGTGGTGCTGTTAGCTGGACATGTTATTTGCTTGTTTCCATGATTACTCAACTGGGAAGTTTGAGAGACAGTTTTATTTTGCTGCAACGTTGAACTGCTGCTAGCTGACATCCTACTGGTTGATGGAGAGCATGTGGCAGAAGTGTTTGTGAGAGGTATGGTTCCAGTAACGGGTAGTGCATTACCATTGGACTGCTGTGAATGTAAACTTTGTGTTGTTTGATCCTTACAAGATGATCCTCTGAGTAATAATGTGCTGGGACTGGAACCTTCTGATGACTGCACCTTTGTCACACTTGTCATTAGAGGATTTGCTGGTGTTACTGCTATCTTTGTTGCTACAGCTGCTGTTGTTTTATGAAGTGATGCCTTTGATGGTGATATTTGTTGAAGATGGTTGCCCTGTGTCTTGGCTGTTAATTGAACAGTAGTTGCAATTAATCCTTGTGGTTGTGTTACCTGTGTCACGGCTGCTGATGTAACGCTTGAAAGCAAGCCTTGTGGTAACACATACACTTGTTTGCCCCCCACTTGAAAAAACTGTCCCGCTGTTAAGACAACATTTTGAGCCCTTTGTTGAGGCATGGATAAAGGTGTCAATAAACTCTGACTTTGTGTTTGGCTGGATAAATAATTGTTCTCAGCTACCACAGAAGTACAGCTTAAAGGTGCTTGTTGAAGTTGTGAGCGTTTATCTGAGAGCATGGTTTGTGAAGTACTAGATGAACTTTCCATAGATGGAGCTGAACTGTTTTGCAACATAGCATGCTTGAGGGTACTTGTAGGTGGGGCAGGCTGACTGTCATTGACTGACTGTTTATTATCTTGCCTAGACTTATTGGCCGACATGCTTGTATTATGTGCCGTGACTCCAGATGGATTTGACACTGCAATGTTAAATGAGGTTGAGGTTGAGCGAGAACTTACATGTTTTTCTATTGCTGGTAAAGTGTTCTTTGTAATTGCCTTTGTGGTCTTTTTCAAAGTCCGCATCTTGTCCAGCAGCTTTTTATGACACTGTACGCACGCTAACAGCTCCTTTTGTTGAGCAGCAAGTTGAAGTATCTTTTGTTTGATGTCAAAAGTGTGTTGAGATTCTGAGCCGTCATTAGTATCCTGTGATTCATTACTGTACTGGGCAATCTGCTGTCTTTGTTGTTGCTGATAGACAGTGACCTCAGCCAACTGAGTTTTAACCTGTGTCATTAGAAGTTTGGCTTGTGCAAAGACTGGGCTTTCTTTTAGTGATACACCTGCAATTGACTTTGTTTAATGTGTAGTTCCAAAAATATCCATACCCCCCACAGAGGGCAGTGGAAACTTCAAGAAGAGGGGTTCTAAAAGGAGGCAATTTTAGACCTCGTTGAGGGGGTCTAAACAAAAATGTACTCCATGGAGGGGTATGGATATCTTCTGGAAGTTCACAATTAATGAGAATGTTACTGTTCATTCCTGACATCAAAGAGTGAGTTTTGGTGAACTTTAAAGCTGCCAGATGTTGCAATGATCACCATCAATCAAATTTAAGTCAAAATATACCTTTTTTATTGCATTTCAATGAAAGCACATTTTTCATATGAAACCTGTTGTGTACTAAAGACACCTATTGTGATAAAAATCATGACATGCTACCATGCATGAGGAAAAACATTTTAGACAGTCATCTGTCTTCAAAATTTTGCCGAAGAGAATTAAAATAATAGTAGTTCGAGGCTTCGTGAGATTGCAAAGTAGATGATGACATCTAGCATGATTCTTTTTTATGAGTCATTGACAACTTTACCTTCCCCTTTTAGTTGAGCCTTGAGCACCAATAACAAATCCTCAATTTTTCCCTCTTGTTTCTTGATTTCCTCTAATCTCTCTGCCGCAGTTTTTTCTGCGTTGAACGCAGTATCTGGTTTCAAGCTTTGAAGATCCTGATCACATGCACATGTTTTGGCTGGCTCTTTGGGTACCACACCTACATTCTCATTGCCTAATTTCTGCACTTTTGCATTTGGAGGAAGAAATTCTGGAGATCCATTCTCAGTATCAACTGGAAGGTGATCCAAGGAATTTTTCCTTAAAAAAGAAAGAACAAGATACATGTAAACTGTTGACATGTATCTCAGAATTTTGCGTCAAAATTCTTTAAATTTAAAAATGTTGCACAAATATCAAACTACAAAGTACTGTACTGTATAAACTTAACTCAGCACATTTTTTAAGAAGTTTACTTTAGGGTCAGGGTGAGACACAAGCTAATCTTACAACTCATTGCCTTTACATATCTACTTTCAACATAAAACTGGGGCAAGGGTTTGTTGAGCATACGTAAACAACGTTTTCCAATACCTCGATATCGCTGTCATTATTGAGGGCGACATTGTACCTTCACCGTCTTCGCATACAGTTTCGTCGCTGTCACTCATTGTTGAGACGCTTTTAAAAGCTCTGTTTTGTCGTTTTATAGTTTCAAAGTAGTAAAACTTACAGAGATTCGATAGAAGCAAGGATTTAGAGAATTCAATATGGCTGCAAGTCCCCCCCTGTTCCCAGTTTCTTTGAGAGATCGAAACAAGGACTTACCTCGTGTAAGCATAATAAGGTATCCAATGGCCGTTAAGGCGGGGGGCTGGGGACTTTAGGGACTGTGCAATAATTATCTGGAGGGGGGGGGGGGTTCTAAAATTAGCAAAGTAGGCCTTAAAATAAAGTTGCACCCCCCTGAATTAAAGTTAAAATAATTTCTTGTCCACCCCCGTCTAGAGGGGAGATTACTTTCAACCCCCCCTCCCCAACCTCCGATCCTCCCTACATCCCTCTTTACCTTTACACTACTTCTGGTATGTCTGCATCATCAATAAATAAAACTTGGAAGCTGCGCTCCACATAATCGTCGCCTGATGAACCACCTTCATACTCGGTTGACTCCTCCTCAGAATCACTTGAGGTATCATCATGAGAACTGGAGGGCATGTTTTCATCATCATCTTCGATGTCTTCATCAAATGTTCCTGCTACAGAACCATCTGCATGCTTAAGTATTCGCTCAACTAATTGTGCCTTGTTTCCAGATACCATTAGACCTTCTTGCCTTAGATAGAGCCGAAGTTGCTTGTTAGTCAGTCTTTCAACATCGTCTCTGCTCTCCCAACAAATATCTTCTGGAATGGTGTTTCTTTCCAGATTTCTTTTGTCTGCTTTTAGAGCCAAGAATTCAAGGTGCTGAAGATATCTTCTGCAAGAACTTTCGTCGATGTTAAGCTTTAAGCATGCTTGCCGTATGGCCTGGTTATCAGAAGAGGTCACTTTCTTTTCAACAAACATCTTCTTCACTTGTACACTAGGAAGGATACTGTCAACCTCGCTTGGAGCCAAACGAGGTTCATCAACTGGGAGATACTTTCCTGGCGAGGACGGATCAAGGGCTGGCAATGGAGATCGTGTAATGGGAATGCCACCTGTCCAACCTTCTTCCTCGCATTCATCGCAGGTTGGGTCACATGAAAACTTCAAGTACTCAAGGTAGTATTGTCCTTGCTTCACATGGGCATCTTTCATCTTTTGAAGCTTTGAAAAAACTCCGTTCCCGCATATTTTGTGTCGTTGCTGTGGAGAAGCCTTCCTCCATTTAAGAAGGTACTTCGAGAGATGAAGCAGGATGTGACTTTCCGGATGGTAGCTGGCAAGGGAGATCAGGAAGTCATTCTTTCCAGGACCCGATTCGTCATGAATGCGCTGTGCAATTTGGTTGGCCATTGACCAAGTATTTGCTTCCTCCCAGGCAATGCAGTGTTGTTCTATGTCTTTCAAGCACATTCTTTCCAATTCTGCAGTAGGAAGCCCATGAAAAGGGTCATTGGGTGGGGCGACCGGACTTCCTGTCGTAAGAGCTTCTCCAATTGCAGCATTAGTGCGTTCTGCCTCGTTCTGCGCCGAGTCATGAGGGACTTGCTTTCCTGTAAATGCTTCGTTGGGGAAGCGGAAGTGCTTGTTCAAAACCAACTCGGGATTTAACTCAAGTTCTTGAATATATGTTTAATATTGTTGAGATAAACTGTTCATTTTTAGTACAAGGTTTTGAAGCTGTTAATATTAATATTTCTTAAAAGATTCCAAAAATTGATTTTGATTAGCTTACATGTAATATACATTATCTTGAGTCCATGGATTGAGATCAGACCTCTCAGTTTAACTTCTAACCCCCCCTACAAATGTTTAAGAAATTACATCTTACCCCCCCTACCCTGCGCTTTGGTTTAAGTTCAGGGCCCCCCTATTAATCTTAGAACCCCCCCCCCTCCAGATAATTATTGCACAGTCCCTTACAGAGTTAGTCATTGGGAGGAAAGGCGACGTCCTGTGGTCAATTCAAAAAAACTTTTCACAAGTGTAATTTACAAGTGAAGGTATTGTTTTAGGGTCCAAAAACAATAGCTACAGTTGTAAATTACACTTGTAAAAGTTTTATTACTTGTAAATTGACCCCTAATGCGTGTCTTTTTCATATTTGAATATGTTTATATAGATATTTGCGCCTTATAAGTTTTGAAATTAAATTAATTATAATCTTTTGCTTAAAGACAACCTGAACCAGTGGCTTCTCGAAATATCAAACAAATGGTAAAAAACAACAACAACAACAAAACTTGCCGAGACCCGGGATTATTCAGAGCTCATGCGAGCTCTCCGGATTTGAACCAGGGACCTTCAGATCTTCAGTCTGACGCTCTCCCAACTGAGCTATCTCGGCAGACGTAGTCCGAACCTGCGTATATAACTGCCATGATCTTCCTTCATATAAGTATTTATTATTATTAATTCCGGAATGCTGACAATTGTGTGCTTCAAATCGATCTCAGTTTACAAAATTATTTAAAATCTTGCCTGATGCTTAGAAATTAAATTCTCCTTTCCTTGATTGAAGTAACCTCAATTGTCAGGAGCGGAAACAACAGAAACTTTGATCTGCCCTGATGTAAACCTTCTACCTCCTTAATTTTGAAAGAAAGGGAAATCAAGCATCAGAGAAGATGTCCTTACTTATAACGAGCCACTAAATGCTCAGTTAAACTAGACTATTTTTCTTGTAAATTGTATCGCAAGTTTGTTCCGACACGAGTATGCGTGAAAAATTGAGTAGTGTACCCCCCAACACCACCCCCGAAGAAAGCATGTATCTTGTTGCCGCTACCGCGCGGCAGCAGAAGGTAGAATCAAATTTAAATTCTCGCAGCTTTTGCAGTATAAACACTGCAACAATTTTTACGTATTAAAAGGAGAATTTGCATGGGGTGTTGCACCAGGCGTGGTCTTCGGCGTTGAACTTGTTGAAATTTGTGTGGCAAGTTGCGGGAAAAGAGCGCTTTGTAAGACAGGGTCTTAGGTGTGGCTAGTATAAGAAGCATAGCTGCGAACGCAAATGTTTTCAAGTTTATAGACACAAAGTTTGCTTCCCGGGCGCAATAAAATTTCATTGAATGAAGTCACAAACATTCTCGCTTCCCAGGGGCGAATTTTGCTTCAAAATAATAGTTTTAGCCACGTTAAAAGGGCTCAGAGTTTCTGCACCACTTTCTTGCTGCCGTCGAATAGAAAAGGAGGGCAATGGGGCGGTAATATTGTTCTCTGAGCCCTGCGAGGGAGTGCGGTCCGTTATCAAACTGCTTTTGGCACAATGAACCAGGAGGAGGACAGCGGAGAGCTCATTATGCATAGCGTAAATAAAGTATAGTAATCATCTTGTGCAAATACGCTACTGTAGACAGAAATATGCATTGTCTAATATTTTAGTCTGTGTTTGAATTGCGGTACTGACTCGGGAACATCAAAACAGAATCTCCCAGAACGGGTCATTTCCCCCCAAAATTGTGGTGCTGCGTATATTACAGGAAGCGGGGAAAAACGTGTTTTTTTTTTTTCAGCAGAGTCTATAACGTGAATTGGCCACCTTAAATTCCTTCAAAACTTTATTATTAAAATAATAGCTTTCGTCTGAACGAATCGATGCTTCCCTCTCACTTTCAACTGCCTTATTTTGCCAAGATTTCTCCTCACTTTCGATCGAGGTATTATGTTTTCCAGCTTTGCGCTTGACAAAAAATTGCCTTTGGGGCACGTAGGCAGAATTCATTTAATTTTTGAAAAGTAATTTTCTAGATTTAAAATAAATCTTTGTCAAAAAAATATTTGCTTCTCATTACTTCTTCAAGAAAAAGTGTCATTTTTGTGTAATACGACTTTGCTATGTTGTAACCACTTCTTGAATTTCTATTATCGTTCTTTTCAGCGGATTTTACAGTTGATTTTGTTGGTAACAGCGATTAACTCTAGTTGGAATCGCATAATTACGGAATAACGTAATACCGTGAGCAATGTGACCCGAAAGAAATATGCTCTACATTTATATCAAGCAAGCAATCTTTACAGTAGGGTGTGAGATTTTCTTTAGTCTAAGGTATGGACGAAATTGAACTGATTTTGTTTACTGGTACGGCGCAGAGCGCTCTTACGTCAAATAATTATAGTTTTATAGTCACTGTTTTGATTGTTTCTGGCGACACTGTCGCTTTCAGCACGAAAATAAGGAAGATGTTAATAGGAAAAAAACAAATTATTTTATTTTTGGCTTTTATTTAAGGAAAAGTATTGTCATCAAACAGCTCCGACACCGGAAAGATTACCGATGGTCTTTTGTCGATTCTTGTTTTTATACCAATAGAGTCAATGGTATGATGTACAAGTCAATCAAAAAAAGTTTTTTTCCTCAGTTTAAAACAAGGAAATTGTTGCTTTGAAAGGTAAATGGGAACATTATTCATGCGCGGCCTGTTCCCGTAAAAAATAAGTTGTGTTTGCATTTTTCTGGAATCAATAAAAAACGATGTATACCAATGGGATGCTTTTATTTTCCTTTTATTTTGCGTAGGTAGACTCGAGTGGCGGAACTGGGTTTTGTTTTGTTGACAGTGGGAAGATCTAAATACAGGAAAAACAAAGAATGGTGAAAAGCTTAAAAAGACAGCAAAAATTGATGAACGGAAAGCAAGCTTTGGCAGTCAACCGACTTGGAAGGATATTTGTTCAGTTAACGCTCGAACAAGGGCGGTAAATTTCTACGCAAGACCAGCTCCCTGTTGGCGGTTACAAGAAAGTTGACTTGCGTGGTGCGGTAAAGTTTTTGGAAGAAGAATAAAAGTACTTTTTAACAAAACAAAACGTCAGCTGTCGCTTTCCCAAGAAAAACTACTGTTTTGGAAGCCTTGAGGATAACACCGATTGGAGATGGAAGCCTCGATAACTTTCACTGGAGTCAAAAGCGAAGAGGACATGTCTGCTAACCAAGCTGAAAATACCATCAACGAACTATCGTGTTACTTACCTGGAAATAAACTTATCGAAAGAAACTTTATCTCTTCTTTCAGCGAGAGAGAAGGTGTTTTTGCCTTGGACAAAGACGGCAATGGTTCCGATATGGATATTTCCGAGGACTGTGCGACCGAAACGCGAGTGACTGTCAACCGGAAAGATTCGATATTTTCTGTTCCTCTGATTCGCGTCGAAGATTGGAGCTCTTCGGAAAGCGACATGGAAGACGACTTCGATGAGTCTGTGCCTCCATTTTCCTTTGTGGGAACAAGGGAAAAAACAATTTAATTGTTTGTATGAACAAGTTGGTATTTCAGGCAGAACTTTCAATCAATGAAAGTTTTACATACATCTACAAAGAAACATTTTCATTTACTGTGATAAACTGAAAATTCAAGAAATTTGTTTTATGATG